ATCATTATTATTAATATATATTTGTTTTTCTTTTCTTCTCATATATATGAAACGTTAACTTGTGTTTATTTTATAAATTTACTTGGAACCTCAACAAATAAAATCGTTTATACTGTAAGGCATGCCTAATCAAACCAGCTGTACTTAATTGTTTTTAACTATATAAATATGTACGTATATATACACTATTTGTTTATTTAATATATATTTTAATGTATCTGCATTGTTTGACGATTCGTTCCACTGCTATATTAAATGCATAGGACTGTTTTTGTTTTATATTTGGTTGGTTCAATATTTTGGACTAAGTTGTGGTGTTTTAGCTATTTTCATGGGTTCTTTGGAATTCTTGAAGCTCTGGCCCGTCTTTATTTAATTTATATTTAATATTAATATATGCCTCATTCGTTTTATTGTCTTTATATTCTATGACTAAATCAAATGTTGCCTTTTCTTTCTTTTTTTTTTTTTAGTTGTGAATTCAAAGTTTTGGTTTACATTAGTTTTAAGCGAATATTTGAATGAAAAATTAAAGCTTTGCTATATAATTTAATAATAGTATATGTATATATAACATATATATGTATATTTACAAATTGAAAGATGGTACACTCTATTTTATATATGTTGGTTTTGCTTCATTTTTATATGCCTATATATGTACCAATTAATAAATATCACTTAATTGACGAGTGTTTGGTTTTGTTTTTTGGTTTCTGACTGCTCGGTATTCAATAAATTATTACTTAAACATTATTTAGCAATTTGTTAACAATTCTAATTAAAAGTTTATTATGATCTTAAGTTTTGTCGTTTCTTTTGTTTTGTTTTGTTTTCTTTTTTTTTGTTGTGTAAAAATTGCAGTTTAAAATCACAAGTGTGTACGTCTTTGTATTTGTTATTTGTTCTGGAGAAAACGATTTGTAGTTGGTACCATAATTTCAATTTACGATCAATCGTCTGTCTGATTGTCTGTTGTATATAGATAGATATATATAGTAAATGTATATTAGATGAGTGGGCGCGTGTAGGAGGGGGCTCATTAAAAACTTAACATATGATTGATTGCATGCAGCTAAACTAAACATAATTCACTTTTGTTTCTTCGAAACGTGGCCTAGGCCTAATAAAATAGTATATAGTGTATATTTTAAATGTATAGTATATCATATATATATACATGATATCAAATGTCATTTTGTGGAAGCTTGTATAGAAGAGCATTTATGCAAATTTTGATTTCACAATTCAATATATATACATATAATATGTAAGAGTTTTCCTTTCTTTTTTTAAAATACTAAATAAAATCATTTTATGCCCTAATGGTATATATTCGATATAGCGTAGGTTGTATCAATGCACATTGTTTAGGTAGGACTGCGGTTCAAACTGGCTGCTTATTTTGGTTACAGAATGAAGAAAACATTATCAGACAAGTGTTACTGTGTCATAGATATCGTATGTGGCATATGGAATATGTAATAACACCCGATTGGGTCTTAGCTATTAGATGATTCTGTTTAAATTGCTTTAGTTTACTTTTTTGGAATTCTAAATCACTTGACATTATTTGTATTTTTTGGCTTTTTTTTTAGTTTTGAGTTCTGGAAATTTCTGAGTTCTGAATAATAATTGTGAGATAGTTTGCAAAGAGTATTGAAAACTACAATTGTTAATACTTCTCCTTTGTACTATATGCTTAAGCTATCAAATCAAATAAACAAACACAATAATGTAGGGAAAAAGTAGGGAAATTCTTTCTTTCTTTTCTCATAAATATTTCAATTCGATTCTCGCTAACTAATTCTTTTAATATATTACTATGAATACTCTCTATATAATTAGCTTTAAAATACTTCCTTTGGCATATGTACAAAATATATATATACATATACATATATCGTAGTATACAATATACGTATATATATATGCATATTTATGTATTGCATTGAAGAAAAACAAACTCTAAGCCTAAGTCTACAACGCGATTGTTAAGTTATGTATGTATATATCGATATATATGTATATATACCCATGTAAGAATGTTTCGTATCGTATTTGTATTTGTATCTGTATTGTATAATTAAAAACAACCTTTAAAATATCTTTCGAAATCGGCTGATAAAGCCACTTGACTGACTGACTGTCATAACGAAAATCCAACCGTTTTAACTAGTATCTAATTATACATACATCTATCATATATAATGTTAATGTTACTGTTTAGTTTTACTGTTTATGTTAATGTTAATGTTAGTATTTTCTATTTGATTTGATTTTTGAGTATTACAACGTGTACGCACTTGTACGGTATAATGCACGTTTTGTTAACACAGAGTTTATATTGATTTTCTTGTTAAAACTAAGCTAATTCTAGTTCTAAGACTAGGCTAGGCTAGACTTGGCTGGACGCACAGCGCACTGTTGCCAAGACTTAAATATATATGTATATAGAATGATGTAAACATTGGATAGTTCTGTCTAAGTATCTTATAAAGCAACTTTATATATATATATRTGTATATATATAGTCGACTAGAATAACAAGTGGGACAAAAACGTTTGYCCCGTTCCTAGGTCTAAGCATTTATAAGTACTCTTCCAAAATGCACGTGAAAATTGCTCTCAGACTGGAGTTTGTCAACTTGGACGCTGTCCATTTGACTGGCTAGCTGATGAGGTGCTGCTGCTGCTGCTGTTGCTGTTGATGCTGCTGCAGCTGCTCGTTTTACTGCTGCTGCTGCTGCTTGAACGCTTCTCTTGCTTCTGTTCCTTATCTGGCTCTGCCACATTAACTGAAGGTCATCTCAGCTTATCGTCGGTATCCGGCAGCTTTGCATCCATGGGCTGTATATCATTGCTATTATCCACATTCGACTCGGGATTGTATTCGTAGAACACTTGCGATGTATCTCCTTGTACATTCACATCAATGGGCGCATCCACATCGACAGTCGGTGTATAGGCAGCACTGAAGTCGCCGCGAGGCGGCTCCTTTGGGCTGTCGACCATTATCTGCACTGTGGGCATTAGGCAGGCATCCATTCCACTCTCCATTGAGCCAGTGTTGATGCGTATTTGCGGCGGTTTCGGCTTGTCATGGCCACTGCCATTTGCTGAGCCTTGGCCCGGGGAGGAGAGGCTGCATTCATCCTCCTCCTTGTACTCCTCGCTCTCACGATGCACCAGTACATGGACGAGCGTCGCATTGTCCGGCCGTAGGCTGAGCGCATGGACATGCGGATGTGTTTGCTGCTCTGGCGATGGTTTCGTCACAATCACCTCCGGTGCCGGGGCATCCGCTGCAAGGTTGTCAAAATGGGAGAAATGACATGAGTGGAGTTGATCCAGGGTATAGATTAGGGGTTCACACATACAGACATAAGCATTCTTGTTAACTCTTAAAGCGCTTTGTGCTGACAAACCTCTTTCTAGGGGCGGTTTCTTGCGTATAAAACTAGAGGCGCGCTTACGCGTTGGAGTTGGCGCCATCTGTTGATGGTGTTGCGTTTGCTTGTCGCTTTCAACGGTAGAGGCGCTAGCAGAGACGAAGGCAGAGGTAGAGGCGGAGGCAGATGTGCCGGATGTGGAGATTGAGGTTGTGTTGTTGTTGCTGGTGTTCATTGCTGCTGTTGTAGGTGAAATGCACAGCATTAGTGTACAACGATCGTGATACGAATAAAGTACATAATACATAGAGGATCGTGTGACAAAAGAGGGCAAAGATCAACGGGATTTAAATTGTAAGTAAAGTTGGTAAAGTAAGTGAGTTGTAAGTAAATAGTAAAAAAGTAATCAAATAGACAGTAGATAAGTTTTATGTCGTATGTAGGGCTGAATAGTAAGTAGTATGAATTAGTCATTTTGAGGTATTGGGCAAGAAGTCGGCGAGTAGTAGCTAGGTTAATAAATATCAGTAGGTAAGTTGTATGCAAACAGTCGAGAAGTAGGTAGGTACTAGGTAGTAACTACTACAGTCCTAATAGAATTATCTGTTGTAGTATTAGCATTAGTAGCAATAGAAGCATTAATAGTAATTGTGGTAGAAGTGGTACTTGAATTAGATTAAAGAGTAAACGTAAAGCGTCTCGTATTTAAGTAGATATCAAGAAGTCGGTATATGGAGTAAATAGTCTGTAGTAGTCCAGAATTTGGTATTATTGCAGTAGAACGTTTAGTCAATAGTACATAGTCAGAAAATAGTCAAAAAGTGTACTTAAAATACTAATAATATATTCAGTGGTATTTAGTAAAAGTTAGGATATTTATTTATATATAGAGTATGTTATGATTAACAAAATTTGTGAGTGTGTTTGTACAACGATGATTGATTTTGATTGGCAAAAGCAACGTTCGATGTGCGATTAAATCGTATCACAATGATAAAAACTTAGTTGAAATTGGACAGAGAGAAACAGCGAGACTGAGAGAGATTTAGGGACTTTAAGTCAAATGATGATGATAGATCTATATACTGGAATGGTACGTGATTAGCTTATAATTAATTGTAAGTGCAGTCTATGGTTGCGGCTATGTACAAGAGAATATATACACAAACATATTGATTGATTGATTGATTGATATAGTGATATAGAGTGATTGGGTGTTTAGGCACTTGTCAATAATTACTTTTTCTATGTACTGAAGGTGAGGTTAAGCTGTCATCGACAGCATCCTGATGACGCAAAAAGAAATTATAAAAGCTTCGGCGACGAGTTGCTCGAGGCGCTTCCACAAATATGCTACCGCTAATGATTATAGATTGATAGAAATAATAATGATCCAAAGAAAATAAACCAATAAATTTTGTTTATATATTTTGATATTGATATGGTCTCAAGACTGTAGATAGATAATAGATACAGATAAATAGTTTTTTTTTTTTTTTTTTATCAAATTCTCTGCAATTTTTTGACGAAATTATGGATTCATAGTTGTTTTTCATAGAACTGTACAAAAAAGCTGCAAATTCAATAAGCTGTACATTATTATATTACAGGGTATGTGAGAGTGTGAGTGTGTCAATAATTGGTTTGCTCAATTTCTCATAGATCGAATTTTGAATTTTTTGCATGTGTTTCGGGCTGTATATGATAGAATAAATGCTGCTACATTAAAAAAAATATATATTTAAAAGTATAAACGTTATAAAGATAATCGTGTCAAAGATCGGGCAAGCAGCGGCTAGGCAACTGAGCAGATAAACTTAACTAAACTAAAATTTACGCATTCAAACGAATTTTGATTTCTGAGTTTCAGAGAATTTCTTATGTAAAGAGAGAGCTCAACTACTTACAAATTAAAAATTTAGATAATTTCGTTTCATAATTCTTATGATTTCATAATTAATTTTTACTGCATAAAGTTTGGGGTTTGAGTTGTAGAGTTTAGCATTGGCAGCAATGAGAGAGACTTTGGAACTGTTTTGATTTTGGTTTTGCTTTGCTGTATGAGTATGTTGAAACTATGTAGCTAGATAAGTCGACTTGTACGAGTTACTGGGTAAATATTATTAATAT